CACACACACACACACACACACACACACACACACACACACACACACACGGTAGCTCACAACCATCTGTAATGAGATCTGGTGCCCTCTTCTGGCCTGCAGGCGTACACACCAGCAGGACACTGCATGCGCAATAAACAAACAAACATATAATAAATCTTAAAAAAAAAAAAAAAAAAAAAAGAACCCTGTCAGAGCAGTCTTGAGGACCAGAGAAGCCTTTGGGTCCCAGAACCTACAGAACAAAGTGGTGTGCTGTGCCTGAAACCCCACTTCCAGGTGGGGCGGGCAGGGACTGAGGGGTGATGGGGCTCACTGGCTTTCCACCGAGTCAAGAAAACGTGAGTCCCAGGGTGAGAGAGAGACCCTGCCTCAAAGGAACAGGTGGAGAGTAACAGTACATGCGTCACCCTCTGCTGGCCCCCATAGGTGCTTGTGTGTGACTCATATATAAATAAGTCTTTTAAAAAAGTCACTTCACAATCACGGTCTCCCTGGGGCTGGCAGGTGACACTTTACAAGAGGAAACTGAGACCCTGAGATAAGAACTGACTTGTAAGAGACAAGGGCAGAACTTGAACTCAGCCCTGACCATGGTCGCAGGATCTTTTCAGTTTAGTGGGGCACAAAGAATACTTTTGGGGAACAGGGATAGGGAAGTTTGTGATCTTACCTGCCCTAGCAACATAAAGAGATGAATAACTCTGACAGGAACTGTGCCTCACCATGGCTGGAACAGAAGGGGGCGGGGCACAGGGGGGAGGGGCGGGCACAGCTCGGAAAAGCTCCAGAGTTATCTACTGGCCATCAGGTGTGTACATCATCACAGAAAGTCACAGCAGTCTGGGCAGGCGTGAGAGAAGCCAGACAGAGTGGGAAACAGCAATCCAACAAAAATCCGACAAAACACTGCTCCTGGGGCCTAGTCACCATGTAGCTACGCAGGCCCCAGTGGTTTTCCTTCTCTCTCTCTCTCTCTCTCTCTCTCTCTCTCTCTCTCTCTTCTTTCTCCTTCCTTCCTTCCTTCCTTCCTTCCTTCCTTCCTTCCTTCCTTCCTTCCTTCCTTCCTTTTTCTGAGACAGGGTTTCTCTGTGTAGCCCAGGCTGTCCTGGAACTCACTCTGTAGACCAGACTGGCCTTGAACTCACAGAACTCACAGAGAACTACCTGCCTCTGCCTCCTGGGATTGAGTGCTGAGATTAAAGGTGTGCGCCACCACTGCCCTGGTGTGACTTTGTTTTGTGAGACAAGGTCTTGTTATGTAGCCCAGGCTAGCCTATAGCTTGTTACATAGCGTCCCAGCCTGGCCTCAAATTCATGATTCTCTTGCCTCAGACTCCTGAGTGCTGGAGTTACAAGGCACACTATGTGTGGTGTCCCCCCCCCACGCCCCAGTACTGTGCATGGAACTCAGGGCCTCTAGTACACTAGGCAAGCATTCTACCACCAACCAAAGCCCTTAGGGGGACTGTTAACCAGTATTAACTTGCGAATGGAACAGGAAAAGGAAATATTACTCTCAGGTCTGACATATTTTATCATTAGTCTGCTTATATTGGCCATTTAAGAAACCAAAGCCACTTCAAACATGACCATTAAAAACACACGTGGTAACCAAACCAAAGCTTTGGTTATAAGGTAAAGTCCCCTATGAAAGAATTCTGGGCCTCTGAGATGGCTCCGTTGGTTAAGGCACTTGCACCCAAGTCTGATGACCTGAGTTCGATCCCTACATGTTGAAAGGGGGTAACCGACTCCCACAGGTTATCCTCTGAGCTCCACACATGCGCTGTGGCACACCCACCCACACGCATAATAAATGAAGTGAACAAATGTAAAAGAATTCTCCTAGTGAGTTATATGTAATCAAACACTGCCATGTTTTCGAGTCTAGCAAAATAATTGATCCAAAGACTCCATAACTAGCTCAGGTCCTGTGATTGGCCCCCAGCTACGAGGAGAGGAGATCCTGAGCCTGTGGACCCGTGCGGACATCACGACCCCTACTTGCATCCCAGTCACTAAAACATGGAACTGGAAGCCAACGGTTGGACATGGTCACAGTAAGTCCCCTTTCCAGTCTTCCTCTATATATAGTCCACTAAGGACAAAGAAAACTGGAAGTCCTTGAAGGCCAGTGGCCTGTAATAGTTAAATATTCTTGCTAGGCATTAAATATCTCATGTCTATAATCTGGGGAGGATGAGGCAGGCTGATTGATCTCTGTGAGTTCTAGGCCAGCCTGGCAAGGTTGAATAGTGAATTCAGGATCAGCCTGGGCTATATAGCAAGTTTCAGGCTAGCCTAGGTTATATTACAAGACCTTGTCTCAAAAATAATAAACAAAAGCAGGGCAAGGTAGCGCACACTTCTGATCCCAGTGCTAGGGAGGCAGAGGCAGGTAGATATCTGAGTTCAAGGCCAGCTTGACCTAGAGAGTGAGTTCTAGGACAGCTGGGGCTACATAGAGAAACCCTGTCTTAAAATACAAACAAACAGCAACAATAATAATAATAATAATAAACAAAAACTAGTTAAGTCTTCTGTATGATTAGATCTAAGACCTTGGTTGGCCTTCTGAACCTTATTCCCATTCTCCCCGCAAGAAAGTGAAACAGACTTAATACTTCCGGGCAGTGTGCACCTAGCACACACGAGGACTTAAAAAAGACCCGTTCTACCACTCAGAGCCCAGGATGGAGGCCAATGGTGAGGCGTGGTATGGCAAAGGGCAAGAGAGTTGCCACACGTTTCAGTTTACAAGAGCTACAGGCATGATATGAACTACAAAGTAGCATAATTAATGCTGCCAGGAAACAATGGGTTCAGAGCCGGCATGTTCCAAGGAACCACAATGTTTCAAGGAAGTACTGATCTCTTTTGAACCCCGATGCTCCAAGGAAGTACTGAACTCTTACATACACGTGACTTACCAATAGGAAAGTCTCACCTGCAGACATCGCTGTACATTCCACGCAAATAAAGGCGTGCATGCCCCGCCCCGCCCCGCCCCACCCCCTGCACATACAAATCTTGAGGAAAGTTCTTGCCACGTATGCTAGCTACTTTGTTGTCCTCATGACACAAGCTACCTTGGAAAATGAGAAAACACCTCCTCCAGACTGGCTTGTAGCGAATCTGCAGGG